CAATTTCCAGTTTTTGGGGGTTTGGGTACCCCCAATTTTCGATATTTTGAGGTTCTTGAGCGCGTTTTTAACCGAGCGACCACCAAAAATTATTAATATTCACCCCTTTTTATGGGTAGTCTCCATATAACCCCCTTTTTTATATTAAAATAGTTATCTGATTTATTCCGTGTGTTTGGGTTGGGTAGTCGTTACGGGGAATAGTCAATTTTTACCCTACAAAGACTATTTAGACATCTGTTGTAGGCATTCCGCCTTCTAAAAATATTGTGATAAAAGAAAACTCAAACATGATGATAATGGAATATATCGGCATACATTGAGGCATCTCCTCAATATAGTGATACCTCCTGAAGGAAAGAATTGATATAAACAATTAAAATATTGGGTTGAATATTGACATATACCGGTCATTAATTAGGCATAGCCCTCATATAATGATATCCCCAAATATTCACTATTTCCTAAACTATGTAATCAATATTGGTCCCCTTTAGGTTATAGCCTCATATAACTTTGTAATCTAAATTACATTCGTTTAAGTATTTTATACTCTACTATGCATTATCAGTATCAGTCCTCTATTTGGATCTTACAGATTTTAGGAAAAATCCCCATTAAAAATTGTCGAAGTTTGTATTTGGTGTACATTATAGTTTACATAAATCGGTTTGCAGAATTATCGGTATATTCCCACTTTTTGGTATGTTCCCTTTATTTTCATTGCATGTATCTGTCAGTATAACTATGGAGGTTCGGTCCGGCCGAACTTAACGCTTTTTCACTTGTTAAATTTGGGTTTTTGAGGCTGATACACACAAAATTATGATTATAGGCTGTAATGTGGCATTCTATTTCTTGTTAAAGAAAATATTTACATATAGGTAATTTTTGTATAAGAGGTTCCACTTTCTTACTGCTATGTTAATGTTCCTAGTCTAGTATTCCAACCATGGTATCTTTTAACACAATAAAAATTTAAACATGATCAGGTTCTTACTTATGTTCGTCTTAAATTTGTTATGGGTTATAATAAGACTCTGTAGACATACATCTAAACATATCATGTTTGGTGTATGGTATAGTTTGTACCATCTTCAACGTTTGGTCCTATCCCCACAACTTCCAGTTTTTTTATGAGCCAAAGTCTGGCTTTCCGATTTATTCGATTTGACATTGACTTTAATTGTCATACCATTAAGTACCACTCACAGAATAATCCATTTTTTAAAACTTCCACATAGCAATTGAAAAAAACTGCTTAATATTTGAAGGGTATAACTGAATTTCTATTAGTTTTGCTACATTTTTTTGTCTTAAAAAATTTTATTGTAATTTTTGTCAACAATGTGAATGAAAAATAATGTAGGCCGCTTTAAAACAAAACCAGTTGCGTAATGGAATTTCAAACATCTGAATTATGGCACAGCTGACAACGACCATTACGACAATGTTGATGGCGATGACGAAACAAATCTCAATTAAATGTTTAAATATGATTTGTTTATAATTTAACAGAAAGAGAATTGAATATGTTAACATTTCTCTGGAAATAAAAAATAACAGAGAGGAGTGAAAACAATTTTCATTTCTAAATCTCTTTTATAATTTTTATTGTACTCTTTTATTCACAAAAGAGTATTATTTGCACATAAACATTTAAAATTCTCTTTGTCTCATTTAATTGTATAATTGCACTCTTTCTTTTGATATTTCCCTCTTCTGTTGTTTTTAAGAAATTTGCAAAACTCTTTCAATGTTAACAATATGCGGTGTTATTTTGCAATTTGTTGTTTTTTCACAATAAATTAAATGACTGACTGACTGTTAAATGAGAAAATGTTACCTAACCCTAAAGAAAAATAGGAATTTCCAATGAAATGAAATTACATAGCATGTAGTTTCAAAGGAAATTATATTCCTAATTATTTAAATGTAATATGCAAATGTGTGGATGAAAATTTTATTATAAATATATATTTCATCTTAACTCATTATTGACTTCTCTCCTATGGAATGTAGAATATTCATGGAATTAAATCAGTAATGTTGGGGTACTCGTAGCACTTTGGGCATATGGAAAAATAAGTTCTCCAACAATGAATTTTAGATATTTAGTGGAAGGTTATGGAATGGTATTACACACTTTAACCGATTCGAACTCAATTTGTTGGCTCTTTCATGAATCGTAGTTATCGAATTGAAGCTATATGTGAGTAATATAATTTTAAACGGATTTTGACTTATGGATTTGGCACAATTTACATATGAGCTTGGCTATGTGGAAACCATATCTAAGCCGGCATATGTTCGAAAAGATTTGATATATTTGTTTTTTTAGATATTATAAATTATAGATTCATATCAAATTTAAATATAATTCTTATTTTGATATTGTATCTGCTTGTAGCAGAATAAGGGACTTGTGGATCGTTGAACGTGACAAAATGTCCATAGGTTATAAAGGACTGCCTTAGTCCTCGTGACATCTTGCCAGAGAATTGTATTGAATATGCGTAATTTGGATGAAGAAGACCCGAAAAATTTACGTTTTAAGAATTCTATGACTTGATACATTTTTGGTAGTAAACCGAAAATATCAAACATCGTCAATTCGGTTGAAAAAAGCGTACCCAAGATCCTGAAAATACCGAATAGAGGGGTTTGTCCTTACATGGGACCTACTAGATGTTTATGTCAATAGTGATAGTTTTTATAGGGAGATTTTCCACCCAATGAGAATTCGAATTACTAAATAAAAGCCGATTTTATTGAAAATCATGCTCCAACCGTTATATGGGAGCAACCTTGGAACGTGGAATAAATATTGATAATTTTATTGTAATAAGATTTTCTACCCACTGAGAACCAAAAGTACATTTAACTTGGTGGAACAAAAGTACCCAAACTCTCCAAAATATCGAAATTTGGGAGGTGTCATTTTATGGGGACTTCCCTTAAAAGGTTGACCAAAGGGAAGTTTTGGTGAAAAGAGGTGCTGCCCAATTAGAACAAAAAATTCTAAATAGTAGCCAATTGGCTAAAAGAAACTGCACCAAAGTACTACAACCTTTTTATGAGATTGTGCATAACCAAATGCAAAAGTGGCTGCCTTATGTCGTCAATGACCTCAATAATTCGATGTTTGAAGCTTATTTATGCTCTCAGCAAATAAAAACCAATTTACAAATAATTTTGTAATGTAATTGACAAATCTCCACTTTACGAACCACGATGCGTATGAGTTATATGAGTACGTATACGTTACCAAACCAGCTAAACTACATTGTTGGATTATTTTTTTAGAATGAAGAATGGTCTTTATCATTTTCATCCGAGCCTTTGTTTGTTGACATAGCGGCAGAGGTTGCAATGACCATGATCAGTCAAGACGATTTTTCAAAGTAATTCTTTCACATTAGAAAGACCATGACACGACATTACATATGATCAGGTATATGTAATGGGGATAATATATTCATAATTCATAATTCATAATTTCAAAGGAAATGCTAAAAATTTTGATGTTTGAGCTTTGCCACCGTGCTCAGGGCACCGAAATAGCTCCCACATTGCCTTTTTTTGCATAGACTCCATAAAAGCTTTCCGACTTATTATAAGTATTTTGAAGGCCCTAACCTCAGCTTCTAATCGATGTGACGATAATGTGGCATTCCAAATTTTCGGAGCATAACAGACCTTCATGGAAACATTTTCGAGCATATTAAGAATATTATTTTTACCAATGAAGTTCGCCAATGGGAATTAGACAACTGAATATACATTTATCATTTCAAATGATCTTTCGACTTTAATTCATGAGTAATGTGTCTAAAAATTTAAACCAAGAACCATAGGCAAAAGTCGCCATTATCTGGTCCTGGCGATACCAAATTCTTGAGAATGCCTTGAAATTAACTGATTTTTTATATTCCGTTTCAGGCCTTGTTGGAAAAAATATTGGATTTGATATTTAGTACCTCATTTTAACATAAGGAGGCTTCACATTTCACATTTATTTTAAGCCGAGGTTTTATATTTGGTATACAGTCATGCCGATCATTTTTCAATGGCTTATATGGAGAAATATATGTTCCTTTTTTCAAAACAGAGACTTTTTTAATATTTATCTACACTCGTAGTTCAATGCCTTACAGCTATGCGTTTGCATATTTTCCGAAAAAAGAGAAATACACGTTTCATTTGATGAGTCCATATATTTGGCAATAATTCAAATACAGACATAATGCGAAAATCATCTCTCCTAATTGCGAAGAAACATGAAATTCTTCAAAAATATCAGTTCAAATCACTTTTAAAAAATCTGAAAACCCACAATTAGCTTCACATAGAAAATTAGTCATAATACAGGTGATGCGATCACAAATATTTTTCGCCCCGCACACAAAAATGTCAACCAGTAAGTAAAGCAGCCACATGGATTATATCACACGATGTATATTGTCATGGACCAAGCGAGCGGATAACACTCACACACAAAATAAATGGAAATTTAAGTATACGAATTTTTCACAAAGTGTGAATGTGATGGCTTCAAGTGACAAAAGATCGATGGCGCGGTGTACACTAATAGTTTCTAAGTGTCAATCATTTTACTGCTGACTATTATGTTCATGATGGTACTGGCAGCCAGCTGGCTGATGCTGCAGTTGTGAACAATTTGACAGCAAGATCAGTGGCCAAATGTTGCCAGGGTGGGTTGGGTTAGTGTTTTGACAAATAATTTGCTTGTCATTTATTTTGACTGAAAATACACTTAAAGAGGCCATAATTTTTGAACTGAAAATAAACTTGAGACGGCCATAATTTTTGACTTCTGTGTTTTCATTAGATTTCTGTTCTATTCACTTCGAACAATTGTTTTTGTTTTTTCTTTATTCTTGTTTGTTCCTATTGGATTTATTGTATTTCTAGCCAATCAGAAAAAAAAAGATTTATGCTAACTCATGTTTTTATTTTTCTTTTTTTTTTCATTTCAGCGCCTTCGAATTTTAAGAGCCTTCTGTTACGTGCCGAGGTGTTAAGAAAAATGAATCATTACCAGAGCTCATTGGCCGATGTGGATAATGCTTTGAAATCCCGTTATACATCTGCTAAGGTGACAAAATACCCATTGCTAATTTTTATTCGTAATAAATGTAATAAGCTGTGTGTTTTTTGGTTTTTGGTTTCTTTCATTTAGGCTCACTATTTACGTTCCTTGGCTTTGAGCGATTTGGGTCGCTATGAAGAAGCTCTTTATGAAATATGTTTAGCCATTAACTTGGATAAATCTTCAAATCTCAGCAGTACTGAATTATTTCAGCATGATCTCACGAAGGTAAGTAGTTCCGCATTATTTTAAATGGGATTTTCATAAACTTTTTTAATATCCGAATAATTGTAATCTTAAACAATTAAAAAATATTTTAAAATTTCAAGAAGTTACAAAAAAGTATTTTAAATTTTTTATGTTTAACAATTGAAAATTTGGACAAGTTAATAGGGTCGAACTTTTCATACCCTGAGGTAAACCTTCAAAATACCATATTGATTCTCTTAGAAAACATAACTAAATTACAGAAAATACGGCTAGAATCTTAACCATACCGAAATAATTTTTAAATAATAATATGCGAAGCGTATGAGTATTGCCAGTATGTATACGTACCCCTATTATATATTGGTGAATTATTTTTGTAAGAAGGAAGGAAAATATGCATTGGAAAATAATATCTGCCAAAAGTTCACCACGAACACGATTAGAGGACTACACCATTTTTATAAAGTGTTCCATAACCAAATGCCAAACAGTCTGCCTTATGTCCTCGATAGCCTCACGAATTCTGTATATTTGTTCCCTTCTTATCTTTTGAGGAAATAAAAAATTCAAATAATTTAGTTGGAAAATTCGACAAGGCTGTTAAGCATACCCGAAACGGAAATAACATAAATAATTTTCCACCTTACGAACTACGATGCGTATGAGTACTGTCAGTACGTATACGTTACCAACCCTGTTATAACTACAATGGTGGAATTATTTCTTTAGAATTAAGAAAAGTATGCCCTTAATAATGAAATAATCAAATGGCCAAAACATGCACGAATTCCAGAACCATATACTTTTCATGAAATTGAAAAAAACTAATTGAAGCTATGCTGTACTGTTGTCGTAGACCTTATATGGCCATAAGAGTGTAGTCGTAAAGTTTTAAATTTCAAAATCGCATTGGGCAATTGTGATCAGTTTTTCCATGGATAGTACGGTCCGAAAACGTTTTCTGTAAAAGAGCAATGATCTGGTTTGTTTCCCAGATCAATATCATCCAAGTCCGAACATAAAAAATAATTAATTACATTTCCTCTGAGCCGTTTGATTCAACCTCATTTTCGACCAACTAAGGTTCAATAATCCAGCCGGACTCTAGATCGCACCAAATAGCCACACGTTGAGGATGCATACTTTTCTCAAAAATAACTCTTGGATTTTCCGAGCTACACATGCATAATTTTTGCATGTCGCCGTAGCCATTGAAGTGGCTTCAGCACTCAAGATAATTTTTAATGGAATTCCTGACAATTTTAATGCATTTCATTGACCCAATCAGTAAAGATATAAAGTCATAGCGATTTGATGGATTGAGTTCTTGTGTTATTTGAACTTCACAATCCATGAGACCCTGATTTTTAGAGACTACTGAATTCTTAAGAACAATAAAGAATCAATTATTCAAATCAAAACTTTGAGTTCGGCAGCAATATTCTCAGTAGTTCTTGGGTCACATCACAAATTTGGTCCCAAAATCTCGAGTTTTCCCTCACTTCCTTTATTGCGGTCTGACAAGGTGCTTCAAGGCGACACTAAAATATTTTAGTTTTACAAATTCTAATCAGCATTTTTTGCTACAGTTTGTTTCTATCGAATTTGGCGCCCAGCGTGGGGTAAAACTCATTTTTTTACTTCTACTCAAATTTAAACCTAGGAAATATTTTAGAATTACATAAAATAGTTTGGCCTATACCATATTTGAGCAAACCCACATTGTTTGGCATGTATACAGAATCTGGCGCCCGATAGATTTCAGATTATTTATTAAAGTTTTTTTCACATTTCAGATTCTCCAAAAACTTCTCTCTCAAACACCGAAATGCATTAAAATGGATCTGGTTAATCTGTCTACGCTACGTTCCAAGTGCCCCTATGATTTGCCAGCCAGGGAATATCGCATCAAACGGAGAAACATTAACGCACAAGATGAGGATACACTGCAAGCGGCGTATGAAGATGACGACTTCCTATCGGCCAATTATGGCAAAGAATGTGATATACTAATGACCGATGATGAGGTTCTATTGTGTCGGGATTTTCTCAATTGTGCCGATAAACGTAACACCTATGCGAGCATAGCACGCAAATATGAAATGGAATTGAAGAGGCAGACATCACGTAAACATGTTCGTCGGAAATGGGCACCCAAAGAGACTGAGTTGTTGCCAATAGTTGATGTGGAGAGTGCACGCTGCAGTGGTCAGTTTCGTAATGTTTTGGAACGTTTGCAACAAGAGTTTGTCAGACTGAAAAGTAAGTAAGGCTATACCTTGCAAACAAATCGAATAAAATAATAATTTTTGTTGTTTTTTGGTTTGATTTAGAAATAGAATCCTCGCCAGAATATGCCATGAAACAACTGATATCCGTTGCACCCACGCTCATTGATGCCAGTGATTTTGATTGCGTCCTTTGCTGTCGCACATTTTGGAAACCTGTGGTAACGCCCTGTGGCCACACCTATTGTCTGGTGTGTTTGGATCGCTGCATGGATTATACCTCATCCTGCCCGCTGTGTATGGCACCGTTGGTAGAGCCCAGTGTAAATATGGTACAGGGTGCCTCATCTCCTGTGCCGTTGATCTTAACCAAAAGACCGGTTACCAAATTCCTTGAGGCCGCCATGAAACGTTTCATTCCAGATAGTTATCAAAAACGTTTCCGTCAGGAAATGGTAATGGAGCCATCGGTTCCAATATTCATTTGTACAACAGCATTCCCTTATGTACCGTGTCCGTTGTTTGTGTATGAGCCACGTTATCGTCTGATGGTACGCCGTGCCATTGATTCGGGTGACAAACAATTCGGTATTGTTCAACCGCACAGCGGCAAGGCCCGCTATCATGATTACGGTTGTATGTTGGATATACGAGATTGCCTTCTGTTGGGCGATGGTTGTTCCATCTTGAGCACAATGGGTTGTAAACGTTTTAAGATTTTGGCCCGTAATGAAAAAGATGGCTATGAAACAGCTAAGGTTGAGTACATACACGATGAGGCCATACCCGATGAACATTTGGGTTATGTAACCAGTATGCACAGTATTGTCTTGGGCAAAGCCATAGCATGGTATGAAAGTCTGGGGCAAGATTTGAAGCATGAAATACTTCAGAGTTATGGTGAAATGCCAATGGTGGAAGAGAATTGGTCGAGCCGAGAAGATGGTCCAGCATGGGCATGGTGGATAATTGCATTGCTGCCGTTGAGACCGCAACTGAAGGTGAGTTGTGAGGGAGAATGACTTTTAATTAAAATTTGTTTTTATGCAGTAGCTATAAAGGCATAGTTTCATCGTAAATCATTTATATAAAATCGAACTAAGTTACCAAAAATCGGACTAAATTAACTAAATTTTCAATTTAACAGGGCACATGTTATTCGATACTCAATTCAGTATGCTTCGCTGAATTTTGTGCTAATCGGCACACATACTCTCCTTGGAATATCATTTACATGACATAGATATATAGAAATAAAATCATATGTATAGAATAACACACTTCACTGCGGTCGGAATTTAAGTCGAGTTGAAGCAAACTTGGCAGATGGAATTGACAAACATAATGCATTGACCTAAATAATTTTCAAACCTTACAATCTATGATGCGTATGAGTACTGTCAGTACGTATACGTAACCAATCCTGATGTAACTACATTGTTGGAATATTTTTAAAGAATAAAGAAAAGTGGGCCCGTTAATAATGAAAAAAAAACGAACAAGATTTCAAAAACATATTATTTTTCTGAAATTAGAAACACCAAATCCCAAGGTGGAAATGTTATGTCCTTGATAGCCTCACGAATTTTATATATAAAGCTGCATCGATTTCAAGCAAACATGACATGTGTATCATGGAGATGTAGGTCGAAAGTATATATATGTGGGAGCCATATATAACCGATTCTCATCAATATGAATAGGGTTCGTCCGAATTCGTAGCGATTTGATTATACAAATTCTTATCTAAAGGATATGGCCCGGACACGCTTCTCAACTAAATTGGCTGTAATTTGGTATACTGAATTATAATTGGGTAACAAATCGTCCAACCAAATATTGATTCTCAATATTGGTCCCCTTTGTAGGGTCGCGTATTTCTACTTGCAGTGTTGTGAGGAATTTGGTTATGTTTTTCACCGTAACTGGCTGCAATTTGTTTTTTTTTTTTTTTCACATTTAATATTGGTCCAGTTTTAGGTAGCCCCCATATAGCCTGGGAGTGTGGACAGCGTTTCAACAAAATTGTCTGTAAATTAGAATTTTGCGTTTTCACTGGGGGCCAAACGAGAGGAGATAGACCCATTTCTGGAGATGAGAAAGGGATGGAGATGACTGGAGAAGAGAAAGGGATCACATACGATAACACTTTGGGAAAACGATCGTGGTCAAAGAGCGGTGAAGCACCTCAAACGGTGGCCAAACCAGAACTAACGGCCAGTAAGGTTCTGCTATGCATTTGGTGGGACTGGAAGGGGATTATTTATTATGAGTTGTTTCCATATGGTCACACGCTATATTCTGAAAATTGACTACTATAGTTTTTTTTTTTTGGCAAATAGAGAGCAGGACTTCTATGAGAGAGGCATTATGAAGTTACCTTTAAAATGGCAACAATTCATATAACAAAGCGGTGCATTTTTGAACATTCCGAAGCATGATAAATAAAGTCGTATAGTTCATATAAAAATAATTTTTCCCCAATATAATATATTTTATATTTACAATAATAATTTTTTTTCTATAATTTCAGGTTGACATTTTGGCCACAACGTCGCTGGAGAAACGTTTGCGTGCCATTGAAAAGACAATAAATTCAATGCCTGGCAATTATCACTATCAGCGTGTATCACAGAATTGTAATGTAGCCGTTGTTGTTCACAGCGGTCAACAACATCACAGCAATCTAAATAGTCCTCATCGCGATAATGATGACGATCTAGAAAACGATGATGAGGAGGATATTGATATGGATAATGAACATGTGATCATGGGCGATGACGATGTCAATGAAGATAATCGACATGAAGAGGATGTAGATGTTGAGCCCGAAGAAACAACACTGCAACATCACATACAAAATATTGATGATAATGATGAAAATATCAATAGTAATGATTTGATGAATAATGATCATCAAAATGAGCAGCAGGATCATTCTCAACGGCATCATCGTCAAAGACATCACCATCATCATCACCACCATCATCATCATCAGCTGCATCAAAATTCATTGCAGCTGCCGGAGCATTTTGAAAATGTCGACAATGTCGATGAATGCTGTCAACGCACAACAACAACAACAAGTCTGGTACAACATGTCTTAAGTAGTAATGATCAATCGCAGGATCACCACCACCATCATCATCATCACACAACAGGAAATACGGAGCATCATCATCACACATACGAGAATCATCGACGTCATGCAGCTCATTCTTTATTATTATAAATTATTAAAAAAAATAATATAACTAATAATTTTTTAAAAGGAAAAAAATGTGGAGAAATTTATAAAACCTCCGCTTTAGTAAAATGTTCCATTTGTCGTTATAAATAAACCAGGGAACATTTCTTATATATAAAAAACAAAAATTAAAAACTAGATTTAAGATTATTTTCAAAACAAACCTCATTAAATTTAATACAGGTCATAAGAATAATATGTGTGTACGTATGTATCGATGTATGTATGTTAGATGTAAATCGTATATGCCAAATATTGATATGTACACAAAAAACTCTCTTATTCTCTTTGTAGGATATTCAGAATACCAATTTATTTGTTAAATGTCTGATACTATAATTAACTCCATAAATAGAGATATATCTAAGTATATATATGTAAGTGTATGTCTGTATCTAGATTATTTAGATTTAGATTTCGATGTATGGATGTATGTATATTTAGATATTGTGATACCTACAAGAGCAACATAAGCAAATCTTTTCTTATATATATAAAACAAAAATATATTTAAGGTATTTAAAAATCGAACTATTATTGGCAATCCACATAACACCCTTTTTATATTTTTCTCTCCAATTTTTTCTAACTACAAACGTAAACAAGAAATAACATTATAAAATCAAATTTTAAACTATAAGAAGTTTATTTTTTAAGTAGACACTATGAAAAGAAGGGAGCATATTATTTAAACACACGAAAAAAGGATAGATATATTGTTTAGATTGAGACGAGTTAAGACTGAAAAATGTTGGCAAAGTATCTAAATTATGTTGTAACTAAAGTTTGCCCTAGATGTTGTTTTATTATCAAATGAAACTTCATATTATGTTTTTGTATGTAATATATATGTATATTTTTTTAACAAATATAATAACTATAAAAGAAAAAATAAACAAATTTGCTAAAAGTCATTTCAATTGGAATTAAAAAATTGATAAAAGCAATACCAGTAGTATTCTGAAAACATACATACAATGTAAACATTTGAAAATGGCATTTAAAGGAGAATATGGAATATGCATACAGTGATGGTCAAAAAATAAATCAAATATTTATATAAGGTGTAAGTGCAATTAATTTTTTTCTTTTGTAAAAAATATAAGAAATGTTAAAGTTTAAGGATTATAAATCAAGTTTATATTTTACAAAAACAAGAAATGCATGTTCGAAAATTATTAAATATGATATGCAAATTGGCTCAGTATTTTATGGGGTTCAGTTTTTTTATTTAAAAATATCTGTGATTATGCCTTGCATTCAATTCCATTCTATGGAAATTTACTTTCAATAACAAAGAAGTTTTGGTTTTCTATAAAAATTAATTGCTGCACATACACCTTATATGTACATATAAATGCTGTTCGATTGAGTTATTATGGGTAAAATGCTCATATGAAATTTGTAAAGTTGTAATATGAAAAAAACAATAACTTTTCTTTTGTTTTTCATTCGAATGAAAGTCCTGATTTAGATTAGGCGAGTTTACTTGCGGCAATTTTTATCGTTCTCTTTTGAAATTGCTTCATGCGTCTATACAAGGCAATTCGGGTTCAAAACTATTTTTATACCCTTCACCACACTGTGGTACAGGGTATTATGTCTTTGTGCATATGTTTGTAACAGGCAAAAATAATCGAGATAGACCCATGGTTCCTTTTGAGAATATGCATAGAATCACTTTCTGAGTCGATTTATGCATGTCCGTCCGTCCGTCCGTCCGTCTGTCCGTCTGTCCGTCTGTCCGTCTGTCTGTCCATGTTAAATTGTAAACAAAGTACAGGTCGCATTTATGATCCGAATTGGATGAAATTTGGCACAAGTCACTTATTTGGCCCAAGGACGAACCCTATTGAAATTGGGAAAAATCGGTTCAGATTTAGATATAGCTCCCATATATATATTTAACCGATTTAATGTAAACGGTCCCTATATATCTTTCGATTTGCACGAAACTTGGTACAGCCTAATCATTTAGGTCTAGAATGATGTCTGCCAAGTTTCGTGAAAATCGGTCCAGATTTAGATATAGCTCCCATATATAGTTTCGTCCGATTTCATGTAAATGGTGCACCAAAGTCCCTATATATCATTCGATTTGCACGAAATTTGGCATAACGTAATGAATTAAGCCTAGAGTGATGTCTGCCAAGTTTCGAGAAAATCGGTTCAGATTTAGATATAGCTCCCATATATAGTTTCGTCCGATTTCATGTAAATTGTGCCCCAAAGTCCCTATATATCTTTCGATTTGCACGAAATTTGGCATAACGTAATGAATTAAGCCTAGAGTGATGTCTGCCAAGTTTCGAGAAAATCGGTTCAGATTTAGATATAGCTCCCATATATAGTTTCGTCCGATTTCATGTAAATGGTGCCCCAAAGTCCCTATATATCTTTCGATTTGCACGAAATTTGGCATAACGTACTGAATTGAGCCTAGAATGATGTCTGCCAAGTTTCGTGAAAATCGGTCGTGATTTAGATATAGCTTCCATATATAGTTTCTCCCGATTTTAGGTAAATGGTGCACCAAAGTCCCTATATATCCTTCGATTTGCACGAAATTTGGCATAACGTACTGAAGTGAGCCTAGAGTGATGTCTGCCAAGTTTCAAGAAAATCGGTCCAGATTTCTATATAGCTCCCATATATACTTTCGTCCGATTTCATGTAAATGGTGCGCCAAAGTCCCTATATATCTTTCGATTTGCACGAAATTTGGCATAACGTACTGAATTGAGCCTAGAATGATGTCTGCCAAGTTTTGATAAAATCGGTTCAGATTTAGATATACCTCCCATATATAGTTTCGTCCGATTTCATTTAAATGGTGCCCCAAAGTCCCTATATATCTTTCGATTTGCACGAAATTTGGCATAACGTACTGAATTGAGCCTAGAGTAATGTCTGCAAAGTTTTGATAAAATCGGTTCAGATTTAGATATACCTCCCATATATAGTTTCGTCCGATTTCATTTAAATGGTGCCCCAAAGTCCCTATATATCTTTCGATTTGCACGAAATCGTTCTGAATTAAGCGTAGAGTGATGTCTTCCAAGTTCCGAGAAAATCGGTCCAGATTTAGATATAGCTTCCATATATAGTTTCGTCCGATTTCATGTAAATGATGCACCAAAGTCCCTATATATCTTTCGATTTGCACGACATTTGGCATAACGTACTGAATTGAGCCTAGAATGATGTCTGCCAAGTTTCGTGAAAATCTGTCCTGATTTAGATATAGCTCCCATATATAGTTTCGCCCGATTTTAGGTAAATGGTGCACCAAAGTCCCTATATATCCTTCGATTTGCACGAAATTTGGCATAACGTACTGAATTGAGCCTAGAGTGATGTCTGTCTTGTTTCGTGAAAATCGGTCCAGATTTAGATAGAGCTTCCTTTTATTATAGATTGATTTTAAGTAATTGATGCACCAAGGAACCAATAGGCTGATAGGAACAAAACTTTCTGAAATTAGTATAACCTAACCTGTGACAAGTTTGTTTGAAATCGCCTAATATTTCGATAGAGCTTCCATATATATTTTCGCCCGATTTCAAGTAAATTGGGCATCAAACTCCTCATGTTAGTCAGATTGAAATCAAATTTTGTACAACTTACAAAATTGAGCATAGAATTACGTAGTTGCGTTTTGTAGAAGTACAGACATAGCCCAACGGATGACCTATTTATATTTGTTTGAAGTCGATTTACATACTTTATGGATAGATTTAGGTAGATTCACATTTAGATAAATATCACATATTTTATTTCATCCAATTTCATCTTAATAGTCCTGTTTAATATACCCATAGTGGTGAAGGGTATCATATAGTCGGCCCCGTCCGACTTTACTACTTTCCTTACTGGTTTTTATTTTGTGCATGTTTTATTATTTTCGAAAATGTTTTGGATTGGTATTTCAAATTAATGACACTACAAAAAGAAAAAAAACAAAATAAAATAAAACGAATTGTCAGAAAATTGTCGGTACGAGCAATTTTTTCCATTTCTATTTCCCTTGTCCCTCTCTCCTGCAAACTAAAACTTGCCGCAAGTAAACTCGCCTAATCTAAATTAGGACAAATATAATGGAACAGATGATTGAAAAAATTAAAATACAGTTGTGCCTGGATATAGTGAACACAATTTTTTTTCTCTCAGAAGCGTAAGAAGCAAACATCTATCTATTAATAAAAACCTGGAAAAATGTGTACAGGGCTTGTAAAAATTACTTCACTATTCACTGACTATACTGATTGAAGAATTTATTAAACCATTCTAATGAAAATATGGATAATTGTGTATTCGATCACTACGTTAATTTTGACGTACCTTAAAAAATTATTAATTACGGATTACGGACGTAATATCCGTTTGTTCCCAAGATACTTCGAATGCACAACTCTCAACTCTGGCACAACATGTTTTACACTCCGCCATTGTATGAAAGCTATATTAAGTCTGCTTCTCCGTTATTTAACACATTGTAACAATAATGACCTACCATATATCATTATTATGTTGCATAAAATTCTTTACCTAAACTGGATCGCCGTTGATGATGTTCAACAACTCCTGAGAGATGCTCATGTGACCTGTTTTTTTTTTTTTTTTTTGAAAATATAAAAATTTCACTTTTAGGTAAAGTCCCCATATCAAGATACGTACTTCTGGTTTCCGGTTTTTATACCCTACAACTATGTTCTTATGGCTTTGTGCAGCCTCAAGAGTTTTTAAAGCCGTGAAATATTGGTCCTAGACCCACCTCTAAATATCCATCGTCATATCTCGACTAGCTGAGTCGATCTAGACATGTGTGACCGTCCGTCCGTCTGTCCATTACAATTTGTATATACTGTACAGGTCACAGTTATTGACCAATCTTCACGACATTTTGCACGTATGATGGGTTCTGGCCAACGGAGATCGGATAATACTTAGGGCATGAAATGTATTTTTGTCTGATATTCTGGCCG